AATGTTGATCCTGGACCATCAATATATAAACTAACTAATGTTGATCCTGGACCAACAATATATAAATTCACTAATGTTGATCCTTGACCATTAATATATAAATTCACTAATGTTGATCCTGGACCATCAATATATAAATTCAATAATGTTGATCCTGGACCATCAATATATAAATTCACTAATGTTAATCCTGGACCATCAATATATAAATTAACTAATGTTGATCCTGGACCAACAATTTTATGAATTCACTAATGTTGATCCTGGACCATCAATTTTATGAATTCACTAATGTTGATCCTGGACCAACAATATATAAATTCACTAATGTTGATCCTGGACCAACAATATATAAATTCAATAATGTTGATCCTGGACCATCAATATATAAATTTACCAATGTTGATCCTGGACCATCAATATATAAATTAACTAATGTTGATCCTGGACCATCAATATATAAATTCACTAATGTTGATCCTGGACCATCAATATATAAATTCACTAATGTTGATCCTGGACCATCAATATATAAATTCACTAATGTTGATCATGGACCATCAATATATAAATTCACTAATGTTGATCCTGGACCATCAATTTTATAAATTCACTAATGTTGATCCTGGACCATCAATTTTAAAAATTCACTAATGTTGATCCTGGACCATCAATATATAAATTCACTAATGTTGATCCTGGACCAACAATTTTATAAATTCACTAATTTTGATCATGGACCATCAATATATAAATTCACTAATGTTGATCCTGGACCATGAATTTTATGAATTCACTAATGTTGATCCTGGACCATCAATATATAAATTCACTGATGTTGATCCTGGACCATCAATATATAAATTCACCAATGTTGATCCTGGACCATCAATATATAAATTCACTAATGTTGATCCTGGACCATCAATTTTATGAATTCACTAATGTTGATCCTGGACCATCAATATATAAATTCACTAATGTTGATCCTGGACCATCAATTTTATGAATTCACTAATGTTGATCCTGGACCATCAATATATAAATTAACTAATGTTGATCCTGGACCATCAATATATAAATTCACTAATGTTGATCCTGGACCATCAATATATAAATTCACTAATTTTGATCCTGGACCATCAATATATAAATTCACTAATGTTGATCCTGGACCATCAATATATAAATTCACTAATGTTGATCCTGGACCATCAATTTTATGAATTCACTAATGTTGATCCTGGACCATCAATATATAAATTAACTAATGTTGATCCTGGACCATCAATATATAAATTCACTAATGTTGATCCTGGACCATCAATATATAAATTCACTAATTTTGATCCTGGACCATCAATATATAAATTCACTAATGTTGATCCTGGACCATCAATATATAAATTCACTAATGTTGATCCTGGACCATCAATATATAAATTCACTAATGTTGATCCTGGACCAACAATATATAAAATCACTAATGTTGATCCTGGACCAACAATACATAAATTCACTAATGTTGATCCTGGACCATCAATATATAAACTCACTATTGTTGATCCTGACCATCAATATATAAATCACTAATGTGAT